CCACTCCATGGGTGGCATGCAGGGAAGAAAGGGGAAGGAAACCCCAGGTACCTGGGATGTCCTTTGGTATGAACAGCAGTTGTCTGGTGTCAGCCGGAAAGAAACCTGGGTTTCCGTGCCATGAAACTCCATGCCCTTGGGTATGTCACGAGAACTCTCTGTGACTCAGTGTCTTCATCTGTGCCCATATGGTCAGCCCTTGTTATGAGCACAGCATGTAGTACGTAGTAAGCACTTTGTGGATAGTAGCTGCCACTAATAACCACAGCGAGCTGAGGTGTGGCAGCCCATGCTTTTGGGGCTGCCAGTGTGAACTAGCTAGTACTAGTACCCGGGCTTTGCAGAAATCAAGTTCTGGCCTATGTTGAACTCTTGTGACTTGCTGCCACCAGAGGGTTCACATTGGTCAAATCATAATACAAACAGTAAGGAGAGGGAGATACTACAGCTGACGTTTATTGAGTGTACCATACTCAATGGCAAGGTACTGTTAATGTGGGCATGAAGCTGTGTGACCTCAGTGCATCCTTTGACCACTCTGTTCCTGTCTTGAGGGCCCTGCCTCAGATTGACATGATAATTTATGAGTCCCTGTGTGTGAAGTGTTCAGGGCAGGACCTGAGCAGGTGTGCAGGAGCTATGGGTGGTGAAGAATAGTGAGGCTTCTTTAGGCAATAGGGGCCCTGAGAAGGTGGTGGCCATGAAGGCCAGTCCTTGCCGTTGTCTGACTCCAATCCATCCTTAGCCTTTGAGCTTTGAAGTCAATTGCAGCTATTTGGGCTATCTAGGGGGCTGCTGTGGTGCCACATGCTTTGCAGTGAAGGACCCTGAAGGGCCAAAATGGATGAGCAGCCCACAAGATGGGGGTGGGAGAGAGTTGTCTGTGCTCTGGGAAGCAGTGGGTTAAAGGAATGGCCATGCAATGGGAAATAAGGGGGTGGTTCTGGGGCACACACCAAGGGTTCTGGGGGGCCTGGGTTAGATAAGGGACCTATGAATTCTTGTTTGGGGCAAGGAAGATTGTGAAAAGTTGGTGCTCTGGGACTCATCACAACCCTGAGCAGTATGGGGAAGTGTTAATAGCACCCTCATTGTAGGGATGGGGAAACTGAGGCAGAGTATAGTTAGATGATCTTGGCTGCACAGAAGCAATGTGTTGGTCTGCTTTGCTCACATCCCTGCCTGGTTCCAGGTGCTGCTATGGGGGGACAGTATTGGGGCCTAACTCAAAGCAGGTGTAGCTTGGCTCGGTTACCATGTAGGGCACATTATGTTAATTATTGTTGTTTTGGAAGTCAGAGGTGACTCTTGGGCCACTGGGATTTGTAGGCTTTGTCCCATCTCCTCCCTGCCCCGGCCCCTCCACACCCTGTAAGCCTTGCTGCCTTTGTCTCTGAAGGAAACAGTGGCCTCTTGTTCTCTGAACCCTGTGCACTGCATGAACAGTGTCCAGTGCTGGCCTCATAGGACAGTGTGACTTGGTAACGGAGCACCCACAGACCTCTTCTGGCCTCAATGGACAGCCCTTTCATTGAGATGCTCTTAACACTCACTGAGAGGGACAAATCAGACCCCTTCCAAGGAAAGAACGAGTCCCCGGGAATGTTCTTTCCTGGGAGCAGAGTGGTCAGAAAAACAGAATGGCCAATATGCATTGAGTTCTTTGATGCCCCAGGCCACATCTGGGAGCTCACGCTTTGGCTGTACTGCTCTTCTGAAGCATCCCTTCCTTACGGCCCCCTCCCGACTGTCTCCTCTTCTGTGATGTACCCTCTCCTAAGGGTCCCTCCTTTCTGGTGTCCCCTCTGTGGCATCTGGTCTCAGGAGCCCTTCTCTCCTGTCGTGTTAAGACTTCTAATGAGGCTCATCTCCTTTCAAGCCAGTCAGGAGAGACTGAGGCTTCTTTGAGACATTTTCAGGGGAGTGGACCCCTTCAGAGTGATCTTGGTTTGTCTGGCCACTTGAGGAAAAATGGAAAAGTGCCATACAGAGATGCTACTGTAGGACCAGATGTGGTGGCACACACTAGTTTGTTTTGTTTTTGTTTTTTTTTTGGTCTTTTTGAAACAGGGTCTCCCTGTAGCCCCAGCTGGCCTGGAACTCACTAGGTAGACCAGGTTGGCCTTGAACTCACAGAGATCCTCCTGCCTCTGCCTCCCGAGTGCTGGGACTACAGACATGCACCACCATGCCTGGCTAGATGTGGTGGCACACACTTGTGACCATGGAATATAGGGCAGAATTGGGAGGATGGCTGGAAGTTCAAGGCCAGCCTGTGATATACAGTGGGATCCTGTTTTATTTTATTTATTTTTGGTCTTTTTGAAACAGAGTCTCCCTGTAGCCCCAGCTGGCCTGCAACTCACTATATAGACCAGGCTGGCCTTGAACTCATAGAAATTCCCCTGTCTCTGCCTCTTGAGTGCTGGGATCCTGTTTTATAAAGCCAAAAAGAAAATTAAAGGAAAGATGCTGTGGCAGGAGGTAGCTGTACTGCAGAGTGGAGAGCCCCCAGGCCCGATGTGTATCCTGCATTGCTGATCTTATGAGAGGGCTTTGCTGGCATAGAAATGCTTGGAAAATACACAGAGGAAGGTGGCTGGCTTCCAGACTCAACTGTTTACCTTCAGCAGAGCAGCCAGGAACACAGGGAGCTTATTTTCCAAACAGCCCCTGGTTGTCAGGTCTACGGGCCTCAGACTGATGCCCACCTCCTTCTCTGATCCTCAGGGGACCTCTGGCCTTTGTCTGGCTGGTTTCTGTCCCTCCATTCCACAAGGAGAACTGGAGATTTGGGAACCAGCCTTGGAGAATGTGCCTAGCGTCACTCTAGGGACCCAGTTCTCTCTTGGTAACTGTCATGGTCTGAAATATTGGCTTTCAGTTTGTGGTGTCTGTCATAGAGAAACCCAGCAGGATGCCCAAGGTGCCTTGAATGGCTCCTTTCTTGTCAGCTTCTCCACTTCTTCAAAATCTGCTGGCGCTGGATGGGACTGTAATAAGGAATCAGCAGACAGAGCCAGATAGGCCCTCGCAGTTCCCCAGTGGAAATGGAGACCAGGAGCATGACAAATGCAGATGGGGGGCGGGTGCAGCGGCCCGGGGCGGACATGGAGTGGTGTTGCTTTTTCATCCACTTTGAGCTATATGGCTTGGTTGACCCTTTTTCCTTCTTGGGTTCTTGGTGTCTTGGTCCTGGGAGGTCCTCAGCTCTTGGCCTTACTGTGAGATCTCAGAAGACAGTCGGGAGACAGAGGCAGGGTGATCACCTCAACTTTGAGGCCATCCAGACCCTATTTCAAACAACAGACACTTGGGTCCGACCCCTTCTCTTTCTTCCCTGGCGTCTCGGCTGTATTTGTTTTGTTTTGTACACAAGTATGTCACCATGGGAGGGAGGCATAATCTTTGGTAATTTCTTATTGCGAGGTCTCTGGGATTTTTTTTTTTTTCCTTTAAATAGGGGTGACCCTTTAACATCTTTCCTGGCAGACCATAAAAAGTAGAGTTAAGGACATCAGCAGGAAAGAGCTGGCACATTCCAAAGGCTTATCAGAAAAGAGTTAAAATAAGGGACTGTCCATTGACAGGTGTGGGCAAGGCCTTTGGGGCCAACAAGACAGAATAGCACTTGTGAACAAGGGTGATGAATTGTTACTACCCTAGGTCTGCTGGGACAGGGGAACCAAAAATGGAGCTGGAACCACAGATAGCTGGTAGTCTTGGGAGAAGGGCTGTGCAGAATCATCAGGAGGACTGAAAGTATGGGAGGACCAGGTGGGGACAGCAATGTCCTGACCCATCTTTCCTCCTGTCTTCTACTGGTCCTAGAGGACAACAGGTATATGGTTGTGACTCTCAGGGATATAACTAGGGCACAGAGTGGACACAGGGCAGAAGATGGAGGGTAGGTTTAGAGGACAGAGCAGTTGCGTTAGGTCCCAGTTTGCATCCAAGTTGAGCCCTCCTGTTCAAATCCTAGGCAGGTTTTAAAGTCTGTCCTTATTTGCTTCATTTGTGAAATCCTTTCCCACTGTGGTTGGGAATAAAAGAAAGCAAGCTTTTATGTTATTAGCCTGGCATCTCTGCAGAGCCACCATTTATAGCTGTACTGTGCCATGAATGACATAGACATAGCCTTTAATCCTGGAGGGAGCTGTACTTGAGGGTGGGGTGGGGTAGGAGATAGGGATGGGGCTTGTGACCTTCTCTGACCTTGTTGAGGCTTTGTGGGGGTCAACCAGGTCCCTGGCTGGAGCCACTTGCCTCTAAGAGACTGGCCTCACAGGTGATGGTGACTATATGCCAACAGCAGACCTCTGGCAGGTCAGGAAGCCTGGTGTCAGGCTGTCCTGGCTGTTGGTGGGTGCTCTTGGCTTAGGGTCAGGTGATGCTGTCAGGTGGCCACTCTGGCTCCCCTGGGGCTTGATCTTCCCAACCCCATGTTCTTGAAAAAACAAACACATTCCCCAGGGGAGCCATGTATGCAGTGCTCAACTGACCATAGACAATCTTGTACTTCTCTACTGTCAGTGGCAAGCCCAGGTTTCAGGGTTGGGTGCTAGTGCCTGGTTTCTTAAGGTAGCAACTCCTCCATTTGCCAAGAACCACCACTTCACCTGGACTTCATAGTCTCATGGACAAGTCTCTGCTTAGATTAAAGCTTGATCTAAGTGAAGAGTCATTTTACCTAACCTCTCTGGGCCTTAACATCCCTAGGTTGTTGGGCAGATGAGATGTGTTAGATGAATATTTTCTCCCTACAGCTATTTTACAGCATTCCTTGCTTGTATGTTTCCTGCCTTTGGGTGGCATAGGGCTTGGGGACCAGAAATACAAGTGAGGGTCTGCCCTCAGAGTTCCTAGGAGTGATGAGCAGTGGGGCCCTCAGGCTCTTGTCCTATAGGTCCAGTCTCTTTTCCTCTGACAGTGGATCCAAGATGGGCATTGGAAGGGGTGTGGACTCAGGTACTGAACCTGTTCTTGGTGTGTTCTCACAGCTGAACCTCAACCGGCCAATCGAGGAGCAGGGCCCCCTTGACGTCATCATCCACAAGCTGACCGATGTCATCCTCGAGGCCGACCAGAATGACAGCCAGTCCCTGGAACTGGTGCACAGGTTTCAAGTGAGTGAGGATGGTGACACCTGACTGGAGGGAAGGCCCAGGGTGGCTGTGTCCAGCTTAGAGCTGTGGCATCTGCATAAGTGACTCTGCCGCTGGTGAGCTGTGGTTTTGTGGGCAAGTGCTTTGCTGCAAGCCAGGTCTCAGTTTTGAGTGTAACCTAGGCTTGGTATCACCTGGTTAGACCCAGCTCCTGGTCAGCTGGAAGGATCAAGGTCCCCCAGGGGCCTTTAAACTGTGTCCTGTCTTGGTGGACATGCTGCCACTCTATATGCCTTTCTCAAGCACGGCTTGACATTTGTCACAGGTCTGTGGGCTGTTCCCTGCTCCCCACCCATTTCCCTAGCAGCTCCAGGTCCTGATCCCTGGTGTTCTGCCCCCCGCCTTGGGATTTTCACACAGGGCGGTAGCTGCTGCTGTCACCACTGTTCACTTGCCCTGAGTGTCCTCTTCTGTGGACAGACATGATACTTTCCTCTGGAAAGCAGTTCGGGAGGTCATGAAGCAAAGTCATATTATCAGCAAAAATGCAGCCGAAATGGTGACTGTTCCCGGGCTTCCCCAGGGCACAGGGGTGCTTGAACTAGCACTTTTCATGTGTGGTAATTGGAGGTTACACATCCGTTTCTCTGTCAGGACAAAGGGGCTCTTGTCACACAGCAGCTATCCTGCTGACAGCGTTCCTCTCTGCCACGTGTTCAGGATTGGTGGCCTCAGCTCCCAAGTTCCCCGTGGCCCTCATCCACTTCCTGGAAAACCCCTGCCAAGGAGTCCCCCTTCCTGCCAGTTTCAGCTACCCCTGGCCCTCTGTGTCCTGGGGGTGGCCAGAGTAGGGTAGGGATTGTCTCCATTCAATGCCCTCTTGGACCTCTGCATAACGCCCCTGTCAGTTGCTGGGCCTTGTCCTCTCACAAGCTGAGGCTGTGGAAAGGTGGGTTGTGATCCTCCACCACCTCATGGAGTCTCAGTTTTCTTGTTTGTAAAATGGGTGCCAGTTGCAGAGAAGCCTAGGCTGCAGGGAAGAGCAGGTGGGCAGTGATGGAAAGTGCTCCCCGTGCTAAGCACTGGAGGGCAGTCACTGAAGGTATGTGGCATGCATACTCACTGAGGTTCTGCTGTGTGCAGGAGCTCTTCAGGCCCTGCGTGGGAGGGAGACAAGGCACCCAGTGAATGGTTTGCCTAACCAGCTTCCACTCCATGGCCTTGCCTGAAAAGCAACCAACCTGAGCCCATATCATTTTTACGACCCCCCAGGCCAGGATTTGCCAGCCTCGTTTTTTTGTTTTTGTTTTTTAAAAAAATATTTATTATTTTTATTTTATGTGTATGAGTGTATTGGCCTGCATGTAAGTGCACCCGTGTTGTGCAATGCCTGCAGAGGACAGAAGAGACTGCCCCTGGAACTGGAGTTATGGAGGTTGCTAGCTGCCATGTGGGTGCTGGCATTCAAACCCCGGTCTTCTACAAGAACAGTCAGTGTTCTTATCAAGAACAGTCAGTGTTCTTATCCTCTGACATCTCTTGCTGGGAATCGAACCCGGGTCCTCTGCAAGAGCAGTCAGTGCTCTTAACTGCTGAGCCATCTCTTCAGCCCCGCCAGCCACGTTTTATAACCAGAAAACTGAGGTTCAGGAGCCTGTGTGGCATGGCAAGCCAGGGCTCACTGCTGACTTTCTCAGGGAACCCACTGCTCATTCCACAGTGGTGGCTTCTACACTGCTCTCCGGCCTCTGTCTCCATCACCATCTAGCATTGCAAGTGCTATGGGCAGTCAGTGAGGCAGCAGCCATCCTCACCTCTGAGTCTCTGCTGCTCCCTCACACCTTATGTTCTTTAGGAAGCCTCCAAGTGTCTAATTGCTGTGCCTGTAGTTCCTTGGTGATGGATGCTCTCTCGGGAGGTAGTGGAGCCTGGGCACCTTAACAGACCCTTGAGGCAGCCATGTCTGCTAGTCAGACCTACGGAGGATGGTGCCCACACCTTGCAGGGACCCTGCTGAACTCTATTTGGGAAAGCCCGGCCATGTGTAAGGAGAGTAAGGAGACTCCAGCAGGAGATATTCAGGGACACTCTATGCTGACCTCTTGGTCTGAAGTAGTTTATAAATATCAACCCAGGGACTGGAGAGAGATGGCTCAGCAGTTAAGAACACTGACTGTTCTTGCAGAAGACCCGGGTTTGAATCCCAGCACCCACATGGCTGCTAACAACTGTCTGTAACTCCAGTTCCAGGGGATCAGACAGCCTCTTCTGTCCTCCATGGGCATTGCATGGCACGGGTGCACTTACCTACATGCAGGCAATACATGCATACACATAAAATTAAAAAAAAAAATTTTTTTTAAATAAAAAATCAACCCATTTGCTCATGGAGCAACAAAGTAGCCTGACTCCCTCAAGAGGAGGAAACAAATATAGGAGGTTGGGTAGCTCTTTCAAGCCTCTACAGATAGAAAGTGATTAAGTGGAATTGGAACCATCACTGAGTGGACCTTGCTCCCCTGCCTTCCTACCTCTTGAGTTAGATCAGAAGGACTCTGGAGTCAAAGCACCTGGGAGGTCGATCCAACCTCTAAGTCCATGGGCCATGGAAATTTGTTATCAAGATGGTACCTTATTCCTGGGGTGGGCAGCAGCTGTGAGGAGTGGATGCGGCAGACCGTCCGTTGTCTTCCTGTTGCCGCATTTCTGCTCACTCCCTCTCCTATCCTTCAGTAAAGGCACAGTCTGGTCAGTAGTTAGCTCAGTGCCCCCTGGTGCTGTCGCTGCCTCAGATACACAGAGCCTTCAGCCCAGGTGACTGCTGAGCAGCACCAGAACTGTTCTGGGTGCAGCAGGAAAGAACATTCCAGAACACATGCCTGGGGGACATGGGACCTGTAGCCTAAGACTGCTAGCTACTGGGTATGTTTCCTGGAGAGGGTCTTGGCTGGATCCTTGAACTGGCCCCTGGTCTGGGGTGGTGGCCTCTTGATAACCTTCTAGCCAGGTACCTCTGGGCAACATTTTCATCACACTTTGTTTCAGTGAGAGGCCAGATACCTGATAAAATCAGGACATGTCTTCCTGGTAAAGAGAGCAAACCTTTGGGGAAAGAATGCAAGGCTATATTCTTCAGAGGCAGCAAGTGTGTGTGTGTGCGTGCGTGTGTGTGTGTGTGTGTGTGTGTGTGTGTGGAAGGGGGTGGAAGGAAGGTGACAGTGACCCAGGTCTAGGAACAGGTTGAGGAACTCTGGATGAAGGCCAAAGGTTAGATCCTGGGGTAGCACTGGGGGCTGTCAGTTCTGATCTTGTCATCTCCCCCTGAGAGAGGTGCAAGTTCAGAGCTAGGCCACATGGACCTGGGGGCTGACGCTTGACCTTGACTATGCCCTTCATTTCCAAATTCTTGTTTAATTTTATCTTTCGGACACTAACAAGAAGACATTGGCATGGTTTGGGCCCTGGGAGGAATGCCATGGTCAGGCACATTGATTTCAGGAGCTCAGGAGCAAGAAGCAGAGCCCAGGGTCTGGTTTGCAGAGCAGCCCTTCTTGTATCTTTTTTTTTTTTTTTTCTCTTTGAGACAGGGTCTCCCTGTAGCCCCAGCTGTCCTGGAACTCACTATGTAGACCAGGCTGGCCTCGAACTCACAAAGATTCGCCTGCGTCTGCCTCCCAAGTACTAGGATTAAAGGCGTGCGCCACCACGCCTGGCTCCTTCTTGTATCTTAAATGTAGTAAACAGTAGAGCAGAGTAGAGGGGCTCTTCCTCAAAGGGCTCTGCTGTTTTCAGGTCCTCAGGGAAGGCTGTGGGTTCATATGTGGGGAGTGATGAGTTCGGAAGACATTCCTCATGGTCCCAGAGCATTGCACTATAGATGTTCCCAAGATCCTTTGGTCTCCAGGCAGGGAGGTTCGGAGCCAAGACCAGCTTCCTGGTGTCTAGGTGGGCAAGTTGGAGAGTGAGGCCCTTGTGCACAGTGCAGGTCATGCAAGCTGGTTGTCACAGAGACAGTCCCAGCTGGCTTTCTTTTGGGATTAGCCTCACAGTGGAGAATCAATGGGATGATTCAGTTGTTCCTTCTGCTCCAAGGGTTATGTGGAACCAACAGCCTGGCGCCTCTGCCTGCTGCCTAAGACTTGGTTATCAGTGTACAGACCTGGGCAAAGGTCCCCCAGGGCCCTGCCTTCCTGGGCCAGTGGGGCTGGGTGTGGCTGGTACACAGGGACCCAGGGGCCTCCTGGCCACTTCCTCGAGGGAGCAATATGAACTTTCTCTCTTGTCACTTTTGGTGCCACCTGTTTATTATGGCCACAGGGGTAGAGCCAGTGGCTTTCTTCTGCTGTTCCTTGGGGCTCCAGAATTGCTCTAGGAGTGTGCAGGTTGTGACCCACCAGACAAGTGGCTTTTTCCAAGGTTTTCCCTGATTGAGGTTAGAAGGAGGCTTAAATGTAAACTGATTCTTTCTCCCCATCTTTTGTGTGTAAGCTTGAACTCATGTGTACAGGGATGAGTGCATATATGTGTACATGAGTATGAAGGCTACTTTTTGAGGCAGGGTCTCTCACTGTTGTCTCTTCCTGGGGCACCTGCTCCCAGGACCTGTGTTACAACTGCTGCCCTCAGTGCCTGGTACATTAAAAATATGCCTATGTGTTTGACAGTAGAGACATGTGTAGGGGGCTGGCCTTATGTTGGGTCAATCTGTGGGTCAGTGGTGGGTAGAGTATGTGACTGTGGTTGGTGACTAGGAGCAGAGAAAGAGAAGGCCAGGAGGGCTCAGGGGGCAGGTGATACTGCCTAGGTGTGTGAGTGGGGATGTTCCCAGGAGTCAGTAGGCTGGAGCATGGGGTGGCAGGGCCAGAGCTCAGGGTGGTTTTGGGCCAGGCTGTGGAGCTTGTACTTTCTTCTGCAGAGAGATCCAAGAGCAAGATGATGGTGGTAGGATCAGGCTAGTCGGCAGAGAGAGAGAGAGGCCCTGCTCAGAAGGGGCATTGCCATTGCAAGGTAAACTGAGCAGG